CTAGAGACTTCGGCTCCAAATTCCCATCGGCCCCTTCCCTTCCCATCGGCCACTTCCACTTGTCTGCGAGCCGATCTCGAGAACTCAAACATCGGTTCCGTTAACAATAGCCAAGCCCCTTCCAAAAAGAAACCCGAAGTGGGGATTAAGCGAAGTTGCTTATTCACAACCCAAAGCAACACAAAAGCATCACCCTTTCCGAGCCTCAGGGTGCACTTAAAAACACGAAGGCGGCAACATTAAATGTAAGCCCAACCGTGCGCCGGGCGGGACATTAAGCAAAACCAGACTGGTGAGCTGCTCTGGCGGGACACTGGCGGGATCCACTGGCGAATGCTGGCAAGCTGCTCCGGCTTGACACTGGCCGGATACCCGGCAGGATCCACCGGCAAGGGATACTCAGCGGGATACTCGGCGGGATCCACTGGGGGGGAGACTCAGCGATACTCGGCGGGATCCATTGGCGGGCTGCTCTGGTGGGATACTTGGCGGGATCGGCAAGCTACTCTGGGGATACTCAGCGGGATGCTCGGCGGGATCTCAACTGGCTACTGAGCTACTCTGGGATACTCAGCGGGATGGTCTAGTGGTGGGATACTGGGCGGGATCCACCGGCCAGCTGCTCTGGCGGGATACTCGGCGGGATTCACTGGCGAGCCACTCTGGCGGTATACTTGGCGGGATCCACTGGCGAGCCGCTCTGGCGGGATACTCGGCGGGATCCACTGGCGAGCCCGCTCTGGCGGGATACTGGGCGGGATACGCTCTGGCGGGATACATCCACTGGCGAGCTGCTCTGGCGGGATACTGGGTGGGGGCGTGGTGTAGAAGCATCGCAAACGCGAATTCCAATATAAAATCTAACAACCCCTTCCTGCCGGGTGGGGAACTACACAACACACCTACATGACTTGGACACCCCTTGGACAAGAGCTCATGTTGAATGCTTTCGGGAAGCATGTTCCGTTTTCCGTCTCTGTTGCTCCCCGAGTTGTTGTTTGTGTTTTTGTGGTGTTCTTGGGTCGTTTTTTGTTTGAACCTCCTGGTTGTTCTAGTTGTTTTTTGTTGTTTGTTTCCTGCTTTCTCCAGGTTTGTTTGGCGCTTTATTTTTATTTTAGTGGGTTTGCTTGTTTGTGGATCTCATTTATGTAACAATTTCGATCCGAATTGTGCCCAAAACATTACTTGCAACATTGTGCCTTGGAACCTCTATTTCGCAACAAGACATAGTATAGACTGCAAATTGCAATCCCATTTCAATGAAGTCTTGCAACTGATCACTTGCAAACCAGTAGAAACGAAATTGGAGTTTCCACGGGTTTGTATTCGTATTTTGCTACATTCAAGGGCAGGCAAATTTAGATTGTTTGTTCACTAGATTTGTTGAATTACCCGTGACTTTCTGGGGAAATGTTTGTGCAACTGCTTCTTGGAAGGTGAGCTTTGCATCCTCGCCAAGCGTTTGCTTTGCAAAAGTAATACCGCGGGCCACACAGTAATGCCACACAGGAATGAAAGGGAAGATGCTAAGACAATTGCAGCTATTCTGGCTTGTGTGAGCAGCAGCAATTGGCAGCATGTTACAACAGTCCATGGAGAGGACCCTCCTGAATGGTTCAGAACTCACAGTTACAAACACTCATCTGCAAAGCATGCGTGCTTGCTCAAAATATAAATCCCCAAAACCGCCAGAAAGTGCACTGCCGCAGTCTCCGGGTCTCTTTATGCTTTGGGTTCCCTTCAACTTCCACAGGCAACATGTGATCGGTGGCTATGACCGAGTTTCACCCCGCCCCTTCAGAGGACCCCCCCAAACTCAAGAAACACTGGCAAAATTACATCCCAATTTGGAGCTGTGCTTGGGTGCTAGGGAAATGTTGTGGCTTCATCCATAGCCGGATTCGGTCAACGTGTTCAGTTGTGTATGTTTTCCTCTCTTTTTTGGTTGGGGGGGACATGGTGCCTCACTGAGTCTACAACAAAAAACAAGCTACACTCATGGCTTATTTGTTTATTTGGGAATCCATCAAGGCAGTAAACTTAGCAAACAACTTGTCAGCGGGTTGACCGCATATCGCCTTGTTTCTTGGTTTCCAGAAAATAAAGGGCCTTCTTGGGATCCTATGAGTGGATCCTATGAGTCATTGCACCAATATTTGAGAGAACTACTGCTTCAACGTTTCCCCTGCATAGTTCAAGGGAACCTGATGTAGTTCACCTGTTTAAACTGCCGGGCTCAGGTTGCCTTTTGACTCTTCGCCTTGGTGTCCGTGATTTCCCATATGGTTTCCCTTTCAAGCCACAAACCAGTTCTTGCAGGGTCTCAGATCCCGTTGGGCCCAGTTCGCATCCTCGCCCAGGTGGTCGTCCTGTAGCGCAACATGCGGGCCTGGCGTCAAGGCGCTTGGACCTGTGGCGTGGGGTAGAGGATACATTTTACATTTTACCGCTGACTCAAAGTGAAGCAAACCATAAAATATACATTCTACAACTGGGCCTAACTCAAATCACGTGGCGATCGATTTTGCTGGTGGACACCAGTAACATCGCAACCGCGGGGGATTTGCAGCGACTGATTTTTTTTTCGGGATACATTGTGACAAGTGGATCGGACCAGGGCTTTCCTCACACCCCGTTGTGGGACGGGCCAAAGCACCGTCCAGACCCGATCTGCTGGCTCGAAATGGATTTTCCAACTCAACGGAGGAGGCAAGGCACACGTGTAATATGTCAAGGGTTTGTCCCCCTGATTAGATGGCTTTGAAGGGAAGGCTTGGGACAAGTCACCGGTCGGTTCAGTGAACCGTATTTTTTGTCCCCACATTCGAGCAAGATCCACCCATGTTTCTCGAAATGAGTTATATTCCCTTTTCAGGTAGCTCGTTGGTTTAGTTAGTTTTGTGTTAACATCATCCAAGACAACATGGGTGTTTGTTTTTGAGGACACGCTTTTTGGGATTCGTTTTTAGGGAAGCCAAAGGAAGACCAAAATCAAATTGGAGGACCCTCTGTTATAGCACATACCCAGTGGCAGTTCCACCCTTTTCGCGACACACATGGGCTCAAAGGTTGGTGCACTTTGAGTAGTTGGGGCCCACAACCTCCTTTTTGCAACAAGCAGACAGACAGACAGCTGGGCAAGCAGGCAGGCAGGCAGGCAGGCAAGCAGGCAAGCAAGCAAGCAGCCAAGCAGGCAGGCAGGCAGGCAGGCAGTCAAGCTAGCAAGCAAGCAATATGCATGAGAGGAGAACTTGCGCCGGCCCGCAAAACATGGCAGCCGCCTGCTTGTCTGAATTTCCCAGTGCTTGTTCCTGAGTCAAACAAATGTCCCAAAAGGAGACCCGCTCGGAGGACCCCCAGAAAGGTTCTGTGGACTTATTCGCAACAAGGGCTTCCCCACTGCTCATCACCCTCCCAACATGCACCAACATGGAACCCACCAGAAGGTCTCTTTCAGAGGAAAGGGTCTTCCAGCGACCGCGAGTCAGGTAGGCTTGTGCGGAGGTAACTAGCACCACTTGCAGCCAACGGGATCCCAAACCAGATGATTGCAGGAGAGGAAGCGCACCATCATCAACAGGCGAGCAGCGAACTGAGAGAAGGATCCAGGAGGATTTGAATCGACACCAGTCACAGGAGTCAAGACTCCCTTCCCACTCCCCAGTCCCCGCTTTGCCCAACTTAAATCGAGTACAAGGAGTACAGGAGAGTAACTCAACAAAACACCATGAGTATTGCAAACATGTAGTGTCAGTTGGGGACGCGCCACTTCAAGCACCAGTTGGCATGTACCCTTTTAGGGTTTGCTAGAACGGAACTTTGGTTTGGCTGGTCCCTCTTTTGATTGATGCCGAACTCCCAAGTCTGAGCATCAGTTGGCACCTGCAGAAGCCCCTTTGAGCCTCCAAAGATGATCAAAACACCCAGAGGGTTGTCAATTGTATGGCCGCTGTTTGGACCCTGGTGCCGCCTTGCGCGTCGCCTTTCAAAGAAAAGTGCCTGCAGCCCCTCATTTTGACAACTGCCAAGGGTAAGACATTGGTCTGGATCCCTTCAATCTCCCGCTACCTTGTTGACGCTTGAGAACGCCAAGTGCCGTGACGGGTGTTAGCGGAGCCATCAGCCAAGCCAGGAGCCAGGCTTCCATCAAAGTCCGCTGACTGCTAAGCTGCATGTGTAGCAGCAACAGTGGTGGCACCTACCGTAGCTGTTAGTCAGGTACCTGAGTGTAAAACCATTCAGTGCTGCATGTATAGCATTATATATATATATATAGAGAGCTAGCCGGAGAGGGCCTTCTTTGGGGTCGGTAGATTATGATTTCTGCATATGTCACAATAAATCCAACACCTGAAAGGAGCGACACCCGAAAAAGAACCTTCATCGTGGTGAGTTCTTGTACCTGCAGATGAGCTCGCTATATATTTGGCAGATGATATGCTTCAACCCGAATGAGAAATTGAACCTGACGGATTTATGGGGAGGCGGGGGGGGTATAGGGGGTCTCTCAATAAGTGATCCGGATCCCCGCTAAAAAACTGGACGCACCCTAATGTAATACTTCGTTCCCGATAGAAACCCAGGCGAATGAAAAGGAGAGGCGGCCGTGACCAAGATTTTCCTTCGGATCCGGGTTGCTCCGAAGCATTTGGGGTAGAACAAATGCGGCCCGGAAAGTGGAAAAGAGAGCACAACTTCTTTTTTTTCCATGCTGTGTAGGTCCTTTACCTGGGGATCCCTTATTTCAGGCTTTGGGATCGTGGAAATTGGGGATCCATTCACCGAGATGGTAAAACGGACTTTGTCCCATGCTGCCTATTGTGCCAGGCTCAGCCATTGTGGCTCAGGATGTGTGGGAAATCTCACACAGGCAGGGTGTGCCTTTCAGTGGGAAGTTGATTTGCGTTTTTTCTCCAGAAATCATAGTAGTTGCAGGATGATGTAGGATCTGTTAGGACTCACCTTTTGCCCTTTTCTTGGGTTTCCCTGATTTCACCTTCTGACGGCAAAACGTCAACCTGCACGGGGGTCTAAGTTTGCCCAAGTGTTTATGAAGATAGAACAGCTTGGGGTGGAGGGTAGTCTTCGTGTTTGCCTCCGACCCCGCTCCACCTTGCTGATGCTTGCACGCCCAAATGGCAAAAACAACACTCGGAAGAGGCTTTAAAGATCCAATGCTGTTTGGTTGTCAATGGCTGTAGTCACTAGTCACTCACAGTCCCGAAAAAGACAACAATGGCTCCCCTATGGCTCTGAATCAGTAAGATAAACCGAGGACTTCACTGCAAATGGTTGACCACATTTAGAGGAAACACTCTCCTCACAAGGAGTCCTGCATTATGTGCGGGTTCCGAAACAAAATTGAGAGTTTCCCAGAACTAAGCCAACCTGGCGGGATGGGTATTTTTCTACCCCCCCCCCCTCCCCCCGGTTTTGGCTGCTGATGCCAGGAGGCCTTTCTTTCAAGGGTTGGGGTCTAGTTTGAGTCTCGCGTTACGAAGTAAGGAAAGCCCCAAAACACCTCGGCTTTGTGCAAGTTTGTGTTGTTTGTAGTACCTTCTTCAGGTTGGTTGAGAGGGAACCAACAGGAAAAACAATCATTTGGGGTGCGAATCCCTGTTTTGACGGGCCCTACCCCAATGAATGTTTTTCGCTTAGCGTCCCGGATGTCTTTGGGGGCCAAGAACGAGGATGTTTTTGTCTCCCGGTACCCTGTACGGGAGTGGAAAGGGAAGCCAAATGCGGACCACCGGAGACCCAGCAAACTCAGATGGCTGTGACTTCTAAATTCGGGTTACCCTTTGTTGGTGGTTTGAGATTGTGGTGGTTTGGGGATTCAAGCTTTGGTTCGTGTTGAGGGTAAATGGGAAGCTACCCCTGACCAAGCCGGCAATCCAAGCCACCAATTCGGAGGAAGCTAGTCATGCCAGGTTTGATTATGGGTGTCTTTGAAAACTGGACATCGGTCCCCAAAGATGGCAACGGCCTCCTTTGGAACTTCTGTTGGCCGACAGTGGGTCCATTTCACAAACTGAATGGGGGTCACTCAAAAGTGGCACCTAGGAATCCAAGTTCTCCGCTTCAAGAGGAGAGGCTTTCATCCCAACTGGTGCCGATCGGCGTGGATGTCCAGCCGTTGGTCGAAACACTGAACGGCCACCTGTCAGGGTTCCCCTAAAAAATCCTACACCTCAACAAAAGGACACCCAACGAAGATAAGCAACGGGAAGCTGATGTTACCAACCCAAAGGAGAAATCACTTGGAGCACTGCCGGTAGTTCCCACCAATCCCAACTGGTTCGAAGTGAGTTTTGTCCATCCACAGTATAGCACTGGTAAACGATCGGAGCCAAATTGAAGCCAACGTTCCGGCTCCCACTGGACCCGTGATCATCTACCTCACCGCGTTTTGGCGGGTCCTTTGGGGATTGTTCAGGTTCCCTATATATCCTCCTGAACCCACCAAAAGGAAACCCCCTTTAAATTGGGCCAAAAGGGTGATGCGCGTGTACCATGTGCGTGTGGTTGTAAAGGGACACCAAGGGGAAAGCACTTGTTTGATGGGTTCGCTCAAGAAAGGGCACACCCATGTTTAAAACAGCAGCGGAAAATTTAGGGAACCCTGTTTCGAAGGGAAGCTGAAGTGAAACCACCCGACACCTGGGGCAGTCGCGAGGCGGAGCCGTGTTACATCGAGCACTGTGGCGGTTGCGACAAGTGCGTTCCAGCCCTCAGCTGGGAACTGGGAACGCGGTCGCTGGGAAAACCCGCTATCACCTGGCCTAGATGCTTTGGTTTGGTGGTTTGGACAACTTGGGGTCCCTTCCCCATGCGTCCAAAAGAACCGGGTTCACACCCCCGAACCACCAATCCAAACCACCCATGAAGGAGTACCTGACCTTGGGGAATCCCCCCTTTCAAAATCAACCAGCCAACAAACATAGTGGCTCTAGAGGTCTGAGTGTAAATCAAAGAAAACTTGTGCGGTCCCGAAGCCGGTTTGGTACTGGCAGTTGGTAGAAACCTTTGGCTTACTGCTTCTCCCAATTGCCCGGAAAGACCAGTGCACAATTCTGAGGGTTGCTTACAAGATGACCAAGCCACAAGGGGATTGGCATTCGCTTCGATCCCCGTTGGCTTCCCAAAACCAAGCCAAGGGAGAAAGTTGGTGAAGCTTCGGTTTGGTTTCCCTGTACCGGGCGAAATTCTGGCCTGCCGCCTGAGCAAACCTCAACCGATTCACGATTTGACATCTCATTCCTGGACAGAAATAGGAAGGTGCCTCTAGAGTTACCGATAGATGCAGGGTTTCCCTCTAGTTTTCCTTTCCCACAATTGCCAACCAGGGAAAGGATGTACCATCAACAGGAAGACACAGCCACTGAGGCGGTTTTGTGTTTGGACACAAAGGCCCCCTGCCAAAACGGATTGCCTGTGAACAAATTCACTGGGAGCCTTGCATCAGGGGACGCGATTTTAGGCGCCGAAAGAGGTGTCCTATGTCATGTGTCCAACCCCAGTCGTTGGCGAAAGCTTAGCCTCTCAGATTGCTTGGAAACTACTGAATGGATTTTCCATTTGAAGGGACAGAAGTTTATTTCTGATACTGGGCCGACTGAGCTGAACCCACCAGCAATCAATAACCCAAATGACCATCATTCAGCTCGGGAATCAGCTAAGGGTGTTAAACATTGGAGGTGCGAAGCTCCTATGTTGACCTGTCCAACGGGCGTTCTCCAGCGCCTCAAGCCACAGGTCAGGCTGTGCCAAAACCCACGGGAGTCTTCCAAATTCGCCTCAATGGATCTCCCCGTAAGGCCCTTGAGGGGTGTTTCTGGTGGGGGTAATTTCAGGTTCACTGCCTCGCCACAATTGAACTGCCATTTTCGGGGGCAACAGCTGAGGTGGGATATAAACCACGTTTTTTCTCCTAGTTATCCCTCGTATCCCCTTAAGCAACTGTGGCTTTACCCTTATATGGGTGTGGCTCAAAATTAAACAGGAGGGGTTACGCAGGTTTTGGTCCATGTTTCCACTTACCAAGGTTCTATTTTGGTACCGGTTTTTTGAGCCATAGCCATATAGCAAGTGAAGCCATCACATTGAAGCCATGGATTTAGGGAATGCCAGAAGAGGGTTCTTCTTCTTCTTCCCTTTAACCAGTATGGTTCTCAAGTTGGGCCAATGAAATCTCCCAACAAATCCAATCCAATGGCCCCAAAGTGGACCGCTAGGCGCCTGAGCGCGCAGTTTTCGCGCGCGTTGAAACACGCTCAGGCTTGGGGCCAGTGGCGGGAGTGGAGCGACTGCGATGTCCACTGCGGTGGCGGCTCCATGCTCAGTGAGAAGTACGTGGGAATACTCGTCCAATGTCGTTTCAGAATATGTTTTCTTTATTTTCCCCATGTTGGCTTGAAATGGAGTCAATCACTACTGGAAATATGTTTGTACTTTTCCAACGTAAGCAAATGGAGGTACTGTGGATGAACAAACCCACTTCGCACCAGTAAATTGTCCAACGGTATGGAAAGGGGAGTGCAGCATGTTTGCACTGGAGACACAAGCAGGAAACATGAGCAGGAATCTCCAGATGGAAATAGCGTCCAAAGAAACCATTGCCACACTGACCTTTTAAGTCTCTGAGAAGCCCTTGGGGTTTTTCTCATGGTCCTTTCTACTCAGCAAACCGCCAAGCCTTGTTGTAAGGGGTCTAAGTCTGGCCAACGGATCCTTGTTGCGAATGGTTACATTCCCACATTACTGGACTGAGAACAAGCCAGTGCTTGTTACAGACAAGCGCCAACACCTTGAGCATGTAGAATGGAATGTCAGCCAACTTGCAGGAAAGCTTTTGCGACGGACGAAAAAAAACACGTTGCTTGTGCTGAGTCCATGAAAGTGACATCCTCAAAGCTCCCTCAAAATGGTGGCTTAAAGGGATTTTGAGAACCCTTCCAAATGCTTACCTTGAGACCCAAGATTAGTTCAGTGGGGGAAATAAAGGTTTCCAGTGCACATTCAATCTTTTTTTGTCAGAGGACAACCGTCTTGCAGGGTTAACGGCCAACAGCCAGCCACGGGCATTTGCTGGGCCTTTGTCCACTGGCTCAGGCAGCATAAGCATTGCATGACTACGTTATCAGGACAATCCCCATCCTCTAGCCAATAGCAGGGACCTTTCCCCAGTTTCTCACTCCCTGGGTTCCTACACTTTGGGTTTGGGAAGACCATGTAAGCGGCAAACTAGATGTTCTTGTTCTGTTGGCAGAATCACTTGGGAAGCAAGGCGCATTTTGCTTGGCTGTTGGGACTTCAACTTTTTGCCAAACAATGGGTTTTCCGTATTAAACCACTAAAAGTTATTCACTTTTCGCAGGGGAGCAGAAATCGCAACCGAGTCTTGAGTTCCGTTTGAACTCATGTGTGGAGGCCTCCATGCCTCTCAGCTGGGCCTTCGAGGGAGCTTCCCTAGAGCCAAACCAAAAACGGGGGTTCCTTCTTAAAAAGCAGCATGTAGCCACTCGGATGTTTAACCAACGCCAGGTAAGCAGGTCACAACCAGGAAATAGCAAGGGCAGCTAGGGTGTGGCCCCTTTTAACCAGGGTCACAACCAACTTACCAAGTAGCTTGAACACCCAAGTAGTACGTTGCGAGACTGCCTTATCGGTTCTTCTTCAGGTTCCGTCTCAACCAGCATGTTTTTGCTTGTCCTTACACGTGAGCTGCAGCTCAGGTCAGCGAGCGCGGCTTCGAAACATCAGCATGCCACTCGGCCTTGTTTTCTGAAGCCAATGCCGATCGCTGGTTTTGCTTGAGGATACCTTCTCTACGATGCCAAACGGAATCTAGCCATTTTGGGGCTCCCGCATTTGGAGACAAAACTGTCGTAGGGACGGATGTCCAGTCTGTGGTCAACTTGGGGCTCCGGACAGACCTGATTTTCGCAAACCTGCGGGGCGGAACCCTGATTTTCCCACTTGGCGTTTAACCGTGGCTTCGTGGCAGAAGTCAAAGCCATTTCACTGTCTGCCTAAAACAGCGGGCCAGCCAAGTGCAAAGGGTTGGACCCCACAAATCTCCTTGGCAAAAATGCCGATTCCACTTTCGAGTGTATGAAAGGGATGGGGGCAGGGACCAAAGAAAAGCCAGTCGTGGTGTCCCCGGGATCCCTCATGTTTCTGGGATCTCTTTGAATATCATGGGAGTTTTCAGGAACTGCAAGTTTGTGCTGGAGGCAAAGCTGAGGCTTAGGTGAAACATCTGAACCTGCTAGGTGTAAATACTAAACTGGGTCGACGAACAAAGCACTGCTTCCCCGAGCTTACTCGTAAAACGAGAAAGGGCCTCCTGGGTTTCTTGGCTCGTGTCCTGGGGGCATTTTCAGGTATGGGTTGTCAACAAAAATATAGAAGGCTTTTTTTTTCCCCCCCCCCCGTATATAAGTGGTATACAAACTCCATACCTCCTGAATCTGCCCCTCACAGTTGGTTATTGTTTGTAGTTTAAGCAGTGCACCCTGATGTTCAGAAGTGCAACCTGTTCATGGATCCCCGTGATTGGGCCACATGGGGGGGGATGAAACTCGCTCAAAGCAAGCTGAAGCAGACCTTTTGGCGTTCCAGTGGTCTTCTCACAGCGCAGAAAGGTGATCGCTTTTGTTTTAGGCCCTTACAGTTCCTCCCGCTGGTTGGTGTAATTACAAGGGACATGCGAAAGGAACCCGGCGCCATTCTGAGATCTCGTTCCAAGCCCGGTTTTCCCCATTCCTTTGTCCAGCATGCGGTTTTCTTGTCCAACATGCTCCATCTTTCTGTTGTCAACATGTTACACATTCCTTTTCTTTCGCCTCTCTGCCTCTTTGGCTGTTTTTTTTCTTCCCGCACTTGCAACCACCCTCCCTCCCGCCCGCTCCCCCGAAACTGGGCCCCCCAAAAACCGCCCGTTGTATTTTTCCCGGCGGCCCACACACACACACACAAACACACACACACAAACACACACACAAACACACACAAACACACGCACACACAAACACACACACAAACACACACACACACACACAAACACACACACACACAGACACACACACAAACACACACAAACACACACACACACAAACACACACAAACACACAAACACACAAACACACAAACACACACAAACACACACAAACACACACACACACACAAACACACACACAAACACACACAAACACACGCACACACAAACACACACACAAACACACACACACACACAAACACACACACACAAACACACACACAAACACACACAAACACACACACACAAACACACACAAACACACACACACAAACACACACACAAACACACACAAACACACACACACACAAACACACACACAAACACACACCCAAACACACACACACACACACACACACACAAACACACACACACAAACACACACAAACACACACACACAAACACACACACACACACAAACACACACACAAACACACACACACACACACACAACACACACACGCACACACCCACGCACACACCCACGCACACACACACACACACACACACACACACACACACACACACACACACACACACACACACACACACACACACACACACACACACACACACACACACACACACACACACACACACACACACACACACACACACACACACACACACACACACACACACACACACACGCACACGCACACGCACACGCACACGCACACGCACACGCACACGCACACGCACACGCACACGCACACGCACACGCACACGCACACGCACACGCACACGCACACGCACACGCACACGCACACGCACACGCACACGCACACGCGCACGCGCACGCGCACGCGCACGCGCACGCGCACGCTCACGCGCACGCGCACGCGCACGCACGCGCACGCGCACGCGCACGCACACGCACACGCACACGCACACGCACACGCACACGCACGCGCACACGCACACGCACACGCACACACACACACATGCAACGCGCGCGCAACACGTGCAACACACACACACACACACGCAACACACACACACACAGACAGACAAACACACACACACACAAACACACACAAACGCACACACACAGAAACACACGCACAAACACACACACACAAACACACAAACACAAACACACACACACAAGCACACACAAACACACACACACACACACAAACACACACAATCACACACACACAAACAAACACACACAAACACACACAAACGCACACAAAAACACACACACACACACAAACACACACACACAAACACACACAAACACACACACACACAAACACACACACACAGACACACACACACAGACGCACACACACAAGCACACACAGACACACACAAACACAAACACACAAACAAACACACAAACACAAACACAAACAGAAACACAAACACAAGCACACAAATACAAACACACACACAAGCGCACAAGCGCACAAGCGCACAAGCGCACAAGCGCACAGGCGCACAAGCGCACAAGCGCACAAGTGCACAAGCGCACAAGCGCCCAAGCACACAAGCACACAAGCACACAAGCACACAAGCACACAAGCAGACAAGCGCACAAGCGCACAAGCACACAAGCACACAAGCACACAAGCGCACAAGCACACAAGTGCACAAGCGCAAGCGCACAAGCACAAAAGCACAAAAGCACACAAGCAGACAAGCTCACAAGCACACAAGCACAAAAGCACAAAAGCACAAAAGCACAAAAGCACAAAAGCACAAAAACACAAAAACACAAAAGCACAAAAACACAAAAACACATCACAAACACACAAACACACAAACACACAAGAACACCAAGAACACAAACACACAAAAGCCAAAAAAACACAAAAAACAACAGCAACAACACAAAAACACAAGAACACAAAAACACAAAAACACAAAAGCACAAAAACACAAAAAAACACACAAAAACACAAAACACACAAGAACCAAAAGCAAGAACGCAAGAACACAAGAACACAAGAACACAAGAACACAGCACACAAGAACACAAGAACACAAGAACACAAGAACACAAGAGCAGAAGAACGCAAGAACACAAGAACACAAAAACACACACAAAACAAAAACACAAGAACACAAGAACACAACAACACAACAACACAACAACACAAGAGCACAAGAGCACAAGAACACAAAAGCACAAAACCCAAAACACACACCACGACACACACACACACACAGACACACACACACACACAGACACACACACAGACACACACAGACACGACACACACACACAGACACACACACACAGACACACACACACACAGACACACACACAGACACACACACACACACAGACACACACACACACAGACACACACAGACACACACACAGCACTCGCCAGGTGGCCTTCTCCCGGGTGCCCACCCTGCGAGCCTATGGCTAAGGCCCCTTGGGCCCCCCCCAATCGGGGAGGGGTGGTGGGGGTCCCAAATAGGTTCCGAATTTTGAGGCGCTCCCAAATTTTGAGGCCTCTCAAAAAGTCCATCAGACCAAAAGGAACACACGACTTTTGGGGGGAATGTTCAATTAATTTTGAGGGTTCCCAAAATGACATCTGCGAGGAAGCCTTGAAGACACCACTGAGGATATCACTTCGGGCGGCAACACCCAACCCAAAGGGCTTGGGCCTCACAACCCAAGCAAGGGGTCCGAATATGTTTACCCTTCGGACGGTTGAAATACATCCATTTTGGAAAGGCCAAGTACTGGTTCGTTGAGTTGCTCGTTGGGTAATGCTTGGGGTTAGGAGATTAGAGCGCATGGGTCCGGCAGTTCATGACTTGGGGATGAATTTGGGCCCTTTCACGGGCTTGTGACATGGGGGATGCTATCCTTAACCATTAACTTAGCTGAGTGAACCCTGTGGACAGTTCTCCCGCTGTCAAACTAAAGCTTTGCAATTGTTGGTTTTAAAAGTAATCATCACCAACATGGAACCTGACTGAAGGTCCCTGGAAGCCCATGTTCCTCTTAAAGGAACTTTCTGGTGGGCAACATAGTCGGAGAAGGCATAGGCGTTTGTTTCACAGCACAGCACCTGTTCTTCCTCTGCCGAATCCGGAACTTGATGCGCCCACAGCTTCCAGGTGTTGATGTGTATGCCCCAAAACCACCTCAGGCAAGCGCGGCACATCGTCACGCTGAAAAAAGGCCAACGTAGCTCTGTTGTTCGTTTTTTTCTCAATTTGACATCAGGGTGTCTGGTCTTGCGGTGTGGTCGTTATTGAGGTCGGGCATAGGGAGCCCTTTGCTTGACAGACCCGTTTTGACTCATGTTTCGGGGGGGCCCAAAACAGGTAACCGTGTGGGCCTATGAGAGTAAGAGATGTCCGGGTTAACTAAATCTGGGTTAGGGTATCCTTTTTTTGTGGTTTTAAAGGGAAATGAAAAGGAGAACCACCACTTGGGGGGTCCCCTAAAGAAAGGACTAAAATTGAGCATCCTGTGTGGTGCACTCTCAAAGATGTGAAGTGACCATGCAGGCCACCTAATGCACGGGTGACTCGACCGGAATGTTGAGACTCCCCTCATTTTTCACATGGAACCCAAAGAGCCCATCATTTGTAGCGGAATCTCCTTGGGGATGCCTTTTGTGGGTTACTTCCGTTCATTTTGGGATTTTTAAGAAATCTCTGCTTGGTGTCAAGCAACTTGTTGCTACCACATCCTTAATAGTCAGGTACTGAACCTCTACCTTTACTTATATCTGCCAGGTACAGGCACAGGCACTTGCATTTGACTGGTGTACCTCCGGCCGTCCCCTGGTACTGCCTGCTTCGAAGCCTGGGATTCGCCAGATGGAGTTGGAAGCCTGCAACGTGGACCCTTGCCCCGAGACGGAGCCAGGGACGCCCAGGGCTTGCGTTGCTGCGGGGTTTTTGTTCGTTTTTCACTGGGTGTTGGCTTGGTTTTTTGGGCGCCCTGTTTTGGGCTTCAACGAGAGACCAAAACAAATGGGAACCACCCATTTTGGGGCGCTTCAAAGGCTATATACCTTAATGCCCAAGAGTGGGATCTCTTTTGAAGCGATTTCATAGTTTAAGGTGCACTCTGGAGTGAAACCAGAATCAAACATTGTGTTTGGTTGAGGGCAAAAGCTGAGGTAGAACGAGAATTCACACCCAATGGAGGGTGTTCCCTCCGTTTTCCTGTTTTTTCGTGGAGGGAAAGGCTCTTTTGAAATCAAGCTCCACACAAGTGTGCCTTTTGTCCCCATGGAATTCCCTGCAAGCCTGGAGCGGAGCATACCCTTTCCCGGTTCTTGGGCATACCCTTGCCCGGTTCTTGGATGGCTTGGTGTCCTTTGGTTTCACCATGGACCAAAGCTCACAACCTTGGGTCTTTGTTGCAATCCATAAGCACTGGTTGAAATGGCTGCTTCTGAAGTTTTCTTTTTGTTGGTGCCCCTGCAAACACCATCCAAAAGGGTCCAACCAATTTTGAGACAGGCCTAGTTGGTTTTTTGTCAAAAGGAACAGATTCTTTTAGGTGGGGTTGCAAAAGGGGCCAAAGAAATCGTCCCCTCAAATACCTGGCTACTGGGGTTTTGGCCGGTCATGGACCATTCAAAAAAGGCACTTAGACTATCATTGTAGAGGTTCCGAGTAAGGAAATCATGACCATGGCGACCATGGTGCAAAAGAGCAGTTTGATTAGGGCACACACGACGGTTGTCCTTCTGGTTTCCATTTTTACTCTCCCAAAGGCATGTCCCAAAAGGGTATTCCTGGGCGGCTTGGAGGGGTGGAGGTTATCTACCACTCGAACTAGGTTGGACTTACTTTCTCCTAATTATCCACATCGGAAGTGAGGGGGTCTATAGCCACACCTCCAAGCTTTGAACATGCCAACTTGATGCAATTAACACTCCCACCGACCACCCAAATGGTGAAGCCTGGATCGTTGGTGTTGTTTCATGGAAACCAACAAGATGGAAAGAACATCCAGGGAGTATCTGAGTCCTATTTTCAGAAATGCCTTGGCATGAGCCACGGGTAATATCAATTGTGTCCCCCTTGACGGTGCATTCAACTAGTTAGCCCCTTCGTTTCCTGATCAAAATGTGGTGAGTGGTCCGCAGTGCCAACCCTTTTTCTACGACAGATGACAGATAATATTGAAGGTTGCTCGTTTTCATGAAATTTTCTTGACCATGTGGCTAGATGCATCTTTGCCCATTTGGGAGGAGGCGCCCGAAAGCGAAACAGAAGCTGCGTAGATATTACGTGGCATGATGAAGCATCGGTTGAGGGTCATCAAACTATGCGCCTTCCCATCGGTTGTCAGACTTTTTTCTCAAAGCCCTTCCTTCACGGGGCTTCCAAAACTGGACCGGTCATTTTGACCGCCGTTCAGCCGCTGTCCTTCAGGGTGGGGCAAAACCAACTTTTAAACAAAAAAATGATCCCGGGCCTTGAACGGAAGGCAAAGGAAGTGGTTCAAACCAAAGCGGCCGACCGGCTCAATCCACGAGGCTCTGCGTCGACGGAGCATGGGCGAACTGGAATGACTGGGAGGCGCGTCGCCTGGCTTTCCCCAGATCTGTGCCCAGTGCTCCGTTTTTCAGAGGGGTTCCCTGTAACATCAACTGCCCAAGAAGAGGTGTGCCCTGTTTTGCTTTGTTCTGGGGATTGGACAGTTTTAGTGATAAACACGAATTTTGGACTTGTGTGGGCCAATCCACTCAAGAGGTCAGTCTGAGTCACGCATGGGGAAGTCTCTTGTTGTAATTCGCCCAGATGAATGCTGTGCTGCTCTTCTCTACGTGACACAGAGTCAGCAAGCCGGCGACCCTGGAAGACTTTGTGACAGGGTTGCCATTCAATCACTTGCTTTCATCCTTGTGCCTAGGTGTGGCTTCGGAAAAAAGGGCGGTAGACCCAAGCTGAAACCACTAGCATCCCAGCAACAAACTGACCAAACAGGACATCTACGTGCTCCAATTCTTCCAATCACTAGTTGAATGGCCAGTGTTAGCTGGGTTACAAAAGGATTTGTCCCCGCTTGTGGTTGAACCAGGTGGGACATCGGATTGGCCAACCATCCATTTTTGTAAAGGAGGTGATTCTACTCCAGGACTGCCAAAATGCCCGGTATGCGCCCAATTTCCTGGGACGATACCTAAACACATGGCAAGTGAACCGACAACATGCAACAAACAAAAAGCTGATCGATTGCGGTTATTGCAGCATTTATCGTTGTCTAAATTCGAGCTCAACAAAACGTATATATAATTTAGGTTTTACTTGAGGTTGTTCTTAGTGGAGTTCCTTTTGCCCTTGCTTGATTTGCAGGATTCGCAGAATTTTCCTATTTCCGGAACCAGCCGTACAGTCCGAGTTGAACCAAGCAATTTCTGCTTGCAGCCCATTGGTACTCTCTGGAAGTGTGATCAAGTTTCACATATTTGGCTACACGCGTTGGGGAATCATGCCAACTCGAGCAGTCAAAACCCAGGTAGTTGAAGGTTAGTTGGGGACAGCTACAACCAAAGTCACCCTCCATTTGGAGGATCTGTGTGAAAATATGGGACTTCCAAAGGTTGGTGTTCCTTTTGGTTTTCCTTTAACCCACACACCCACCCACCCGCCCACCCGCGCACGCACGCACGCACGCACCCACCCACGCGCACACAACCACAAACAACCACAAACAACCACAAACAACCACAAGCAATCAAACAATCGGAGAAACACAAACAAAAACAAATCTTTAGCCACACAAACAAGCAAACAAGCAATCCCACGCACAAAACCATGCAAACACACAAGGAAACACACACACACACACACAACAAGCAACGAAATACACATCACGAATGCGCCAACGAACGAACAAGCAGCCAAACAGACAAACAATCAAGCAAGCAATGCAGCAGACAAACAATACGGAAGCAAGCAAGCAAGCAATCAAGCAAACAAACTACACACGCACATGCATGCATACACACAAACACACAATCATATAAGCATACAAGCATACACACATACACACATACACACACATACAAACATAGAAGCAACCAAGCATACAAACATACAAACATACAACCATACACATACAAACACACACGCATACAAGCATACAGTACACACATGCAAACATGCAAACATGCATGCAAACATGCAAGCATGCATGCATGCATGCATGCATCCATCCATCCATCCATTCATCCATTCATATCCATCCATATCCTTCCATATCCACTCACCTACCCATCCACCCACCCATCCATCCACTCATCCACGACACATCCACCCATCCACCCATCCATCCATCCATCCATCCATCCATCCATCCATCCATCCATCCATCCATCCATCCATCCATCCATGCATGCATGCATACATACATACATACATACATACATACACACATTGACACATGCATGCATGCATGCATGCATACTTAACATACATACATACATACGTACGTACGTGCATACATACATACATACATACATACATGCATACATGCATCGTGCATACATGCATACATGCATACATGCATACATACATACATGCATGCATGCATACATACATACATACTTAACATACATACATACATACGTACGTACGTACATACATACATACATACATATTAACGCACAAAAACACACACACACACACACATACATACATACATACATACATACATACATACATACATACATACATACATACATACATACATACATACATACATACACACATACATACATACATACATACATACATACATACATACATACATAAGACATACATACATACATACATACATACATACATACATACATACATACATACATACATACATACATACATACATACATACATACATACATACATACATACATACATACATACATACATACATACATACATACATACATACATACATACATACATACATACATACATACATACATACATACATACATACATACATACATACATACATACATACATACATACATACATACATACATACATACTCAAACACATACACACATACATACATACATACATACATACATACATACACACATACATACATACATACATACATACATACATACATACATACATACATACATATTAACACGCACAAACACACAAACACACAAACACACAAACACACAAACACACAACAATCAAGCAAACAACTAAAGCAAGCAAGGAAGCAAGCCAGCAAGCAAGCGAGGAAGCAAGCCAGCAAGCAAGCGAGGAAGCAAGCCAGCAAGCAAGCAAGCAAGCATACGTACGTACGTACCTACACACGTCCGTGTACGTACGTACACACATACATAAATACGAATATACAAACATACACACATACAAACATACATCATACAAAACACACACACACACGACCAATAAACCAACCAAGCAAATACACAAACACTAGGAAACACAAACAATCAACACAACAAGCAATCAACCAATCAACCAATCAATCTAAGTCAAACTCTCAAACTAACAGGCACCCAAACACACCAACACACCAACACACCAACACACAAACACAAGCACAACACACACACACCAAACTTACTTATATAATTGACCCTTTGGCCCTAACATTTCTTTTAACCAGCAACACGTCACTCTTTGCAGGGGTCTAACATAAGGGTCTAACCTAAACCAAACGGTCAAATATCACCAAAAAAGTGTGGTCCCAAAAAACAAGGTTCACGACCCAACCTGGACAGACTTACTGTCAGGGCCTAAAATGATGACAACGGTAAATTGAGGCATTATTGTACAGGCAACCAAACCACTTGGCCAAATGAAGAACAGCTTCAACGCGCTACGCCAGGCCTGCTCCACCTCTTGCGAGGGCGGCATGCGCTGGCGAATGCGGCATGTAGCCCGGCAGGCGCGAGCCTGGCGCGATCTCAACGTTAGTTCTTTGGGGGTCATCATGGATTGCAAGGCATAGTTGGCAAAGTAAGTTGAAGGAAGTTACCCAATCCATGACTATTTGGGGGTTGCTGAAAGTGAACATTTTGAGGGTTTTTTGGGAGTGTCAAGATTTCAGGGTGCCCTTTAATCCACTGTTGAGCTTGTCTTTTTGCAGATGTCACTTTTGTGGACCCAGTACCAAAATTGGTTTGAACAACAATAAGGCTCGAACATTTTTAATTCTTCCAAATGGCGTTGTAAATGTCATGGCCAGGGATTGGATTTCCGCTGTTTCAGCCACTGGTCTAAGCATGCTTGAAACTCACGTTTGAGTTTCCTGCAGCAGCAACCCGAAAGTTGCCTGCGCTCTTGCTTTGGGATGTGGTGTTCAATCCAATATCATGTGATTCCATCAATTTCCGACATGTTTTTGTTCTAGTACTTGGGTCTTCCACCCCAGCTATGACCCCTGCTTACGCTGGTTGAACATCCAAGTACCGGGTAACCAGGATGTTGGGCCGAAGGGACTGAAGCCTTCTGCACATTTGGGGATGTGTTGAAACGATGGGACCCCAACATTCTAGGGTTCATTCCCCATTCTTTTCAATCATCATTCTTTTCAAAACCAGCTGTTTCCCCCGGGGTTCTGATGGTTTTCTAGAAAGAAGGATCCCTGGAAAGAATGGGGAAGTGTCCCCAAGAAAAATGGGTAGATGTCCTTTTGGCTTCCCCTTAGACCGGTACCCTCAAATGACGCAGCCATGTTTCGCAACTTGTTGAAACCCAAGGCTGCTTCGGCCTCAAGGTTTGTTGACCCAGTGCTTCCAGTTGCATTAGCAGGGCAAGCTCTGGTTACCTTCTGATCCCAGCCGCCGTGTGCGTGACGATGTTTCATGTAGCCTGTGGAAGACGTAGCAACTTGGCTATTTAGGTGGGGTATGAACTTGGCCACGAAGATGCGAATCCACTTGAGGCGACCAGTTGCGGCGCTGAGCCTGTGGGAGACTCACGCGAAGAAGGCTGGCTTGGATGCCCTACAGAGCGCAGGGAGCGCTCTGCAGCGCTCTGTTCACGTATGTGTGTGTGTGGTTTGTTTGAGGGTACTTTTTGTGGGGTTGGTTTAAAGGGAACACCATGGAGCACCATTTTGGGGTCCCCCTATTTCAATGTATATTATGTATACTATATTCATATATATATATATATACACCCATATTGCGCACCACACAAAAATGATTTTAAGCACCTTCAAACGTGATGTTTGGGGCGCTTGGCTTTTGGAGCTTCAAAGGCATAAGTGTTTGTTTTTTTGTTTTCTCGAGGGCTCGGGTTCCCTCTGAGGCATGACTGACTTTTTTCGCGGGGCAGGAAGCATGGGTCCAAAAAGGGAAACCTAGTTTTTACGAAGTAAAGTGGCTGTGGCAAACATCCTGGATGCGCAAATGTGACGAGCAGTTCAGTAAGCTTAGTTGGACCTTCCATCCGGAAATCCATAGTGCTCATTGTTCGTCTGGATATCCATGTCGTTTTTTGTTGTGGCCCCTTTGGTGTCCAAAGATAGGGGACCCTTCTGGGATGACAAAGCAACCACCAAATTCGAGGTCACCTACTTTTGAATATCGATTTCTAGCATTCTCTCCGGCTGCCCAATGCCAAAGTCATGTTTTTTTCTTCTTGCTCCCCTTGCCTCTTTTTGCCTTGCTGGTCATCAGGTTTCTCGGTTTCTCGCTGTCCTCCCTCCAGAACAAAGAGGCGCCTCATTCATCCGGTCAACGTCATCTTGACCGGTTTCATCCCAACTTTGAGAGTACAAATAAGTACATTTAACTACATATTGTCAAACATCAACAGCGAATAGTAGGAGCATATGGGTATGGGTCAAAAATAAACCGCCAGGGGACCGTCCATGTTTCCATTTCCCAGGGCAACCCATTTTGGGGTTGCCCCATTTTCAACCCACGGCCATATACCAACGTGCATCCGGCTCCCCCCCCCCCCGACCCCAAAACGACGAGCTCCGCCTGGCGCCGAGCCGCGCGCCAGAAGAGTGCAACCAGGGGGTGCCCTGCAAGGCGAGCCAGGCCAGCGAGCGAGCGCTTGCGCCTTCTCGAGGGCGAAACCACGGCGGGATCCCTTGCAGTTGGGCCTGTCTCTGAGGAATGGTCCTCAAAAAACGGCCTAAAATGGCAAGGGGTGCGTCTTGGTGTTCCTTTAAACAACCATGCAGCAGGTTCACCAGGTTGAACAAAAACCCTAGTTATGGCAGTGTAAAGATGTCACCTCTATCAGCCGACTTAGACGATCCTCTTGAAAAGCAGGTGGTCTTGGCGCAGGGGGGGGAATTCCAAGACGGAGATGTCCAGGGCCGTTTTAGGACCCCTCTTTCTGCCTTACCTGTTTTTTGAGGGTCCTTTGGGCCGAAAAGTGGGGGTCGGGGATCGGGGGCCAAGGATTGGTTGGTTGCTGTTTCGGGTTCCTTCCGTCAATCAAGAGTACTTGTGCGTGAGGGTTTCACTGGATGCTGATGCACACTTCATTTTGAGCGCCGAAAGTAGGGACCTCTCCTTGGGTCAGTGTAAAAGAAAGGCAAACACACTCACCACAGAAAAGTTGCATTTCGGGAAGCACCAAACTGTGTATCCATATTGAGGTGAGTCTAAGATGTCAAAGTCTTTAGAGCATAGGAGAGATTTGGTCAGGTCCTTTGCACCCCCCACCAACTGCTTTTTGGACATTGGGATTTCAGACATGGTTGAAAAAGCAGTTGTTGGGGGGGGGGGTTGCCGGTTTCATTTCCGTGCTTGTCTTCCGAAAGCAGTTCGAATCACAGAGTCTTTGGAGCAACGCCAAGCATATGGCTTCCACTCTCTGGTGAGATTCTTTGACAAGCAGGGTAGGATCTAGAGACTTCAATGAGTGACTTCAAGACTAAAAGTGCATGCATATATATATATATATATGTATAATTATATGTTGTGTCTTTCTGTTTGTTAAGACATACTTTTGCGAGTTTGATTCTTTGCTTGCTGTTCGCACTTTGTCTTAGAGGCTCTTGTTGTTTTCTTGTGAGGGAGGGGGGCTGAGATTTGTCCTTGTTCCTTTGTATTAGTTGGCAATGTGTGTCTCATTTATAGTTTCAGCTTGCAGCAGTGAGGTTTCTGGGGCATCGGCATGCTAGAAGAAGGGGCTTGACGAAACGTATTCATGGGGGTTTTTATGTTGGGAGACAGAGTGACCATGCAATACATCTCTTCATTTGCACAATACACGAACAATCAATGTGCATACACGTTCTGTATACAATTAATACTTCTACATACAGACACACTTAACAGACACACTTAACATGTTCCTCCTTTGTATTTCTTTTCTTACTGGTTCCTTCCTTCCGTTTTGCCTTCCTTCCTTGCTTGCTTGCTTGCTTGCTTGCTTGCTTGCTTGCTTGCTTCCTTCCTTCCTTCCTTCCTTCCTTCCTTCCGTCCGTCCGTCCGTCCATCCGTCCTTCCCTTCTTTAAGTATTGTTTCTGTCATTATGTTTTTCTGACTTTCCGACGTTCTGTCCTTCTGTTGTTCGTTCTTAATTCACGGCGGTAATGTTTTATTTACTGGTGTTTTTAGGTGTTCATTTGTTTGTTTATTTATGTGTGTATTTATGTATTTGTCATTTGTTTTAATATTTGTGCATGTATTTGTCTGTATTTATGCCAATGGTTTGTTTTAACTAATGTATCCATTTATGTGCTTATTTGTTTGGTCATAAATATATTAACTACCTAGTGAATTGGTTGATTGACTCATGACTTCAGTCATTTGTGAATAAATTGATATTGACGTTGCTCTTTACTTGGGTATTTTGTGTATTTCTCTCTCTCTCTCTCTCTTTCTCGCGCTCTCTCTCGCTCTCTCTCTCTCTCTCTCTCTCTCTTGCTCGCTCTCTCTCTCTCTCTCTCTCTCTCTCTCTTTCCTCCAGTTGTTTTCTTTCTTTCGTTCTTTCTTTCTATTTGCATTTCTTTCTTGCTGTGTGCGTTCAGCGTTACGTCGTTCGTGCCTTCCCTTTGTCTCTTTTTGTTGGTGTGTTTGTTTGTTTGTTCGTTCTTACTCTGTCCCTCGCTTTCTCGCCACCTATCTACATAGCCATGCGCACGTGTTCTCATACACCCATGCTCATGTTTGATCTACGCGTGCTATATGTCCATATATTTCCCATGCGCATCGATTGAAATTCGCAGGACTGCGAGCTGAGCCCTTGGTCGATGTGGTCCTCCTGCAGCGCCTCCTGCCATGGCACGGAGACCTAAACGAAGCCCCGAATCCGACTCGGCGGTTCACCTGTGTGATGTCAAACGAGTGGGGTCTGTGGATCACTTGGGCAACTTGGGAATATGTCGGAACCACTTTTCCCGGTTTGTGCTTGGTGACATGCTGTTGTAAAGTGTCCCTGTTGACGCACGAAGTGAGAGTTGCGATCTTGCCTGGCCATCTCCTGTTAGGTGTCTCTTCAGAGGGTTTGGGTTGGGTGTTACCAGCATAATGAAAGGATATGTCGGGTTGGTTGGGAACTAAAGGGAAAAATACAATTTAGGGGTTTCCCGATTTTGCTACATGCCCATACGGCGAGGCATTGGATCTAGCCCTGTAGGATATCATTTTCTGCACATCCCTGTCCACCTGGTTTTCGGGCACAACCGAAATCCGGTGACTCGGAATTTCAAAAGACCCTGCTATGCCCCCTTATAAACCAGCTGCAAGGTGAGAGACCCTTCTGTGACACATATGGGTGTGTCTTTCGTTAGGATTTGGACCCCCATGGTTTTCTGTGTTCTTTTAGAACGACAAGGGTACCCGGCACCTTCCACAAACACGGCGGTCACATGGACACCTCTCGGGATCCCGCAGGTGTGAAGAAGCGGGTCCGCACCGTGGAGACCCACGGCTACGGGGCAGCTCCGGCGATTTTTTGCGTTTTGCTGAACGCCTCGTGTCGTTCCCGGTGACTCGATAAATTCCCTGAGTTCATGGACTGAAAACAGTGTGGCAAGACCATTTTGGTTGTAAACAACCAGTTTCGACCCCCTTTTTTCGGCCAACCTACTCAGGAAGTGAGCTCCCGGTGCGTTGTCTAAGTCATTTAGATAGTTTGTCTATGCCTGCAAAACAGTTATTTGTTTGTGGGGGGGGTACTCGCTTTATTCGAAGACCATTATCCATGTTAGACATCTTGTCCAGTCCCAGTGCTTCCAGTTACCACTATAGACGCGGAAAACCTGGGTTTCTTGTCTCCAGGTTTTACATAATAGTTTCGCGTGGTTACCTACTAAAGTGGCTTGCTGGAAGGACTTAGTCAGTTTGGTGAATCATTCTTTACCCTCCCACCCAACATGGAACTGACTGGAGATCCCTGAAACACCAGGTTCGGTAATTTACCCAGCCCTTATACCCAGAAGATATAAGGGTACCCACGTTCTCCCTTTGGAGGTTAAAGTTCCTTGAGGTTTCCCTTGTAAGAGCTACCCGTTGCTGAGAGAAATGCGAAAGAAAGCCGGCTTTTCAATTGTCCTTCTTCAATTTTAGAACCCTTGAGTTCAGTTTATTCATCAACATTTGAATTGCATTCCCTTCATAGCAATCCTGCACACTAGTTAACCACTCAGCGGTGTAAAACAAGTGCCTGGGAGAATGACTAACATGTTTACTAACATGTTTTTCCCATGGTTCTGACGGATTGTGGGTGCCTAGCAGTTTAACAAAGCTATGTTGAGTTCACAAAAAAGTGGGCCTCAAAACCTCCAAACCCCAAAAAAACCCAAAACCCCAAACCCCCAGCCCGCCAGCCCCCCCGGCCCCCGTACACCTTTGCGACCTCTTGGGAGTCTCGTCAGGCGGGCAAGTACTGCGAGGGCATCCTCGAGGAGGCCTTCCCTTGCGCGCCGGGCGGGCCCAGACCAGTCGGTCCGTTTCATTTTGGGCCTGGAGTGACCCCAAAAAGGGGTAGCCCCGTTCTTCAAGGGTCATGGACACTCTAGGTAGGTCATTTTGCTGTTTTTTTGGTGTGTTTTTTTGGGGGAAGGGGATAATTACCCTTTTCACGTTGGTTTTAAGGGAACCCCAATTCAAAGGAAAGCAACCATTTTGGGGGACGTGGGTGTCCATTTGGATTTCCTTTCAAGCTGAAAAAGGGTGCCCGTAAACAAGTACACTTGGATGTTCAACCAATGTCAGGCTAGTAAGATACAACCATGGCTCTAACTGGGGAAACTTGGGCTTAGTCTCCTTGTAACCATGCTTAAAATCCTACGTATTAAGCAGCTTGCACATCCAAGTCTAGGTCAAAACAGCGGGGTGCCTTTCCAGCTGAAAAGGGTCCCCTCAAGCAACACCCACCCATTTTATTTGCCCCATTTCTGGAACAGCGACAGCTAGGGGGTTCTGGGCTTGGCGGTTTTGAGGTTGTTGGGGTTTTGCTGGGGACTTCTTTGGTGTTGTTTCTTGGCGTGGGTATTCTCAAAATCTACCAAACATAGAGGTTGTTGGATGGGTGTTCTTTTTGGGGTGGGTGTCCTAGTCTACCAGTTCTCTGTGGGTGTCCTTCTTTGTCCAGAGGTTTGGGTAGGGACACGCCATTGTGGTCCTCTCACTCCCTGAGTTCCTGAACTTTAGACTTTTGGGGAAGACCCTTTGAGTGGTAAAGAAACAGTTTGGACTTTTTTGCCTAGTCTAGGAGTGAGTCCTGGGACAGGCAAACACAACCAATTCTTTATGGTTTTGATTTTCAACAGAGCTGTAGGCATCCAGAGGGGCCGGCCGGTTCCCGGACCCGCACCAAACCCCCAAAGAGCGTGAGGGGTCGGGGGTCGGGGGTCGGCTGCTTGAAGTTGTTGGTTTCAGGACATTGTTCCTTGATCTGAAAGCCAGGAGAAAGGGGACATGGCTCCATGAAGCGAGCTTTAGGGTACTTGCCGCACTCCGTAGATTCCTAAAAATGATAGTTCTGTCATGAGGTATGGGAACGCACGCTTATTCTCACAGAACCCTCACGAGTTTGGATATGTTGGTCCACTTAGGATGCCGACGTCCCGTGGATTTCAGCGTGTTCCTCTTGAACCTTTTTTAGTTGGATCTGCAGCATCCGGCCAGCATACATTGACTGTACCGACTCCTCGAAAAGCGTTGCCAGACTTTGCCTTTTTGACTTTCTGCATCTTTCTGCCTTCTTCGTTTTGCTTGTTGGTCGCCCTTTTCAGCAGGGTTGCTGGGCAAGTGGGGTCACAAAGGAAACCAGCTGGGTTTCCTGCGGGAGGCCAAGGTCTGGCTGTTGCACATCATTTGCTTATTTCCCCTCGATCTCACCGCTGGGGTGAAGCGGTGAAGCGAGTAAGCGAGTTCACTATGATGTAGGTCCTTTACTGAGACTCCCGTGCTTTCAGATTTTGACCACATCGCAAAATTGCAGGTTAAAACACGTGCCGCCCTGCTTGCTGGTTCTCAGTAGGAAATGCGGGAAGGACCCCGAGCTGATCCATCCCCCTGTAAATGTGCAATGAGGATCCATTTCTTTGGAACGATGCCCTATCCCACCAAGAACATCACCTCCAAGACTGTTTTGTTTGTTCTAGCCGCTCCACCAAATGTCGGGGGTCGGTTCTGGGGGTCCCCTTTTTCCCCGCTGAAACCATGGCAAAGCCTGGTAAGAAACCCCACCAGTGACGCTGAGGCTGGGCATCTCCACTAGCTTGGTGAACTGGGACAGCCCCCACCTGAGAGAAGCAGTTTTGCTTTGCGAGGGTCGTGCCATCCTGTCTTATCCCACTGAGCATGACGCTTTCAGGTGGGAGCTTTTTTTTTGGAGTTGGTGTAACCTTGCTATGCTCTTGCGATTGGGGAGTTTGTCTTTTTCGAGTTGGTTCCCTGTTTCTTGAGTCCACTAGAAAGAATAATTTGCCAGGCTGCTGAGCTGCTGCCCCGTCGCCCATTGTCAGACTTCCTAAGTGACTTTATTGTTCCCATCGGCGCTTACACGCTGACACCTCTGCGTCTTTGCACTGCTTCAAAAACCACACGTAAACATGGACGCCCCGGAAGATTTGACAGCCTTGCTTGCCAAATCATGCCGCCTGCCAGCCTCGTTTTTCTCAACTGAAGGCAAACCACTTGTTGTTCTTTATTCTTCTTTACGTACATAGTTGGAGACACACTCATGTGTTGTGATGTTTGCAGTTTCAGTGTTGGTTGATGGAATGACCATAGCTGAAAACTACTGTTACTTGCCGTGACATCCTGAGCAAATGGATGGAGAACTCAGTAGGTGTGCAAGTCCCTGAAATGGACACGAGTATTGGGGCCGTTGTACCAACCCAAAGCCTCGCAAGCTTCCAACCCCTCAGGGGGTCTGCATGGCGTCAGACTCCGGTCAGATTCATTTCCACTAAGTAGGCCAGAACCACGCTGGTGGTAGGTGAACGCGCCTTGGCAACTGCCAGTCTTGAGGCCCCTCAAGACACCAGCAGCCCCTATCAAACATTTGAACTTGATTCAAAGCTTGGGATTCAATCCACTGATTTACAAGCAACTCGTTAACTGCACGTAATCTATGGCGAGCTGGGGGTAGAACGAGCAATAGCCATAGGTCCTTTACCTGCGGATCCCCTACGCATCCTGGCGTAGGCTATGTAGGTGTTACCATGCCAGCTGGGCAAATGGCATGGCGAACTCATTGGGTTGCCAGGAGGGTTGGGGTCCTTCACCTTCCGATCCTTACCAATCCCCAAGGCCTTGCTTGGCCTATGGCCTTGCTTGGCATTTCTTAGCATAGTTTGGTCTTGCAAAGGCTGGTGCGAGCCAACCTTGCAACACAACAAGCGGGAGCCCCCCCGATAAAAACATGGACGGCGGGTTCGCTGTCATTTTCCTTTTGAAAACCCCCGACAGTTTGCACCAAAAAAGAGATTCCATGAATTTCGGAAACATCCGCAGCTTGTGAAGTTGTCTTCAACCTGTGGCAACTGACCCTGTTTAGGGGTGTTCAACTGGAAACTAGGGTCTGTTCCTCCATTGGAACCTAACTTCGATAGACCTTGGCCTTGGAAGCAAGACACGGCGCGGTCTCTCAAAACTTGTAGTCGAGTGACAATGATTGTCATTAATTATCGTTATCGTCCACATTATCGTGGATTGTATCAATATGAACATATATATATATATATATATAATATTATGACATACATTTGCGCACAAGCTCAATCAGGTCAACAATCAAGGGGGCAGCAACCTTCGGCCTGAGGTCCCCATTTGTATCTGAACTTGAACAACGTGGGGGCCAACAACCTCAACGGGAAGGGCCCGGACTTTCAGGCGGGCGGGCACCAAAAAAGTAGTCCCCTGTTTTTGGGTTACACCACGGACGCAGAAACCCAGGGGGCCCAAGAAAAGATAAACCGCGCCAGTAAGAACCCCCCGGGTTTCTGCGCCCTTTTGAAGAGTGGCTCAGTGGGGCCGTTGTCGGTAGAGATGCTCATTGACCCTTAGAGATTTGAAGCGACAGTGAGGGAACCAATGCCATGTCAAAGGGGTGTCTGGACACTTTAAAACCAGCTCACCGATTGGGGGTTGGGCCACGTGAAGGTTCTATACTGGGTGTCTAAAACCTTGCCCGGGGTTGAGGATGCTCAGACGAGACTTGCGTTTCCTAAAGCAGGGAACAGACCAGGATTTCCATCGGAAGAATTTGGACAGAGGCATTTTGGAGGTCAGGCGCACGAATCCAATGAAACCTTCCGGTGAGGTTTCAAGCCCACTTCCCCGCAGTCCAGCAAGCCGTAGTTAGTTGTTTTGCTGGCTTAATGGAGTCGTGGTTCCATTTTGGGGTAACCTTTGCAAGGACGACAAACTTGGGTGGAACAGATGAACCACTGGGCTTTAAGTCCTTTTGGAGGGGGAACTAAACAAAGAATGGAGCCATGAGTCCAGGTTTCTGGGACACCACTTCCGGGGCAAGTGGCCCCAAGAAAAGGCTTCTTTCTGCTCACATGCTCTGAATTCCGCTTTTGGCTGCCTCCCAACTGATTTGCAAGGCGGGGGCAGGATGGCTCCCTTGCTACCAACCAATTCGTCACTTGGAAGGCGAATCTAAATTCCAGTGAGTATCACAGAAGTGGATTCCATTTCTCGCAGCACAACATTTCGCCAACCGACTCTCTGATGGCATTTTGGAAGCGGTGGGGCTGTCTCAAAATAGGGAGCCTTGTTTGGATGACTTTAAAAGGCAAACCACAAGAATGATTTTTGGAGTATCCATGTCAATGCTTCCAAGCTTGTCCACAAAAATGTCCCAACAACCCTTGATGGGGTAATCTAAGAGACCCACCACAAGAATCTTGAGAACTAGTGAAGGTCCAGGAGCTTCGTCCTTTTGATGTCCCTATTCCTTTAACATAGGGTAAGTCTCCGTCCAACGTGAGCATGTTGAGATTGCTTTGCGGCTGAGCACAACCAAAGACTAATTTTGGATGTTGACTCCGATATGGCCACCAATGAACCGGTGTGTTCTACTTTAGGAGTCGGGCTGTTGGCTCCCCTTCTGATAGTTCCTCTAGGAGTTGGTTCCCCATTCGTTCCATAGTTCTGCTCAAAAAGCTAGCGGTTTGCAGGCCGAGCTTTTTGCTGGGTTTTCTGCAGAAGCTCCAATCCCTCCAGCGAACGGGGAAGTTACCCCTAATGGTTGGAATAGCCTGACACATGGTCGGATATCAATTCCCATGTGCATGAATGTCCACCATGTACAGGATTCACTTCAGTTTCCAGACTATACTTGACGGCCTGGATCGCTTCGGTGGTAAACAAGCAGTTCGGCTTCTGATTGTTTGTCCACTCAGAGGACACTCTTTGAGATGGCAGTCTCCAATTTAGACGGGCAGAGGCCCTAAGGCCCTCAGGACTCAGGTTGGTTCGGGGACAAAGGTTTAGAAACCCATGTACTCAGTCGCACCCCTTTTGATGTCCTCTTTGCGGGTTTCCCTTTGACATCACATGGTGGGCAAGTCAAGGCGTCGACCTCCATTGCCCAAAATGGAGTAGCTGACGCTTGCGTGGTTTTGTTCGAAACCCTCTATTTCCTCGAGAAAGATTACCCCAACTTCACTGCTCTTGGATGTGTGTTTTTTCCCGTTCTTTGCCTGTTTGCGCCCTAGATTCTGTTGAGTTTGCTGTTTTCCCCGGGCAAGTGGGATGGAAGCACCTGCCTCAGTCCGAGCCCGCCTTGCGCTTCAAGAATGCGGCTGCGGACTGGGCTGGGTGGCAGGGGTTATGAAGAAGGTGCAATATTACAGGGGTATAGTACAAGTATCTAAATAATTACACATTCTTCCATTATGCACATGACTTGAGTTGGTCTTGAGGTACCCTGTGTGCAATCACAATTAAACTCTTTATAGAGTTGGCTTCCGAGATTTTCTTTAGCAAGCGGATTGGATACGATTGGATACCCTTTTGGTGGCTTCGACCAGTTCTACTCCATGTTGGTTCTCATTGAGTACTGATTGTTTGTGTCCTACAAGGGTGGATGCGCCAAAGCTGGGTCCAGGCTGTTTCCTAGAAAACACGCTGCAGACAATTCTGCAGGAACATGTTCAGAAACTGCTGGTTTCGATTGGCATTTGGCTGAACGTTCCAATGAGTATCAGCTGTGAATGGTCACCGTTCGGCATCCATGGTCTTACAATGCCCTCCTTGTTTGCTTTTACTTGGTAGCACTTGGTAGTATTGTCATTTGTGCATTCATGTTTGTGTGTGCATATATATATATATATGTATGTATGTATATGTATATGTATATGTAAATGTATGCAGCACCATCATAGTCCCCAACTGGTTTTGAAGATTGCAGTCACCGAGTCACTCATGTTTGCATGAACGGGGTTTCCCAACTTTCATGGAGCAATGATTGGGTGGGGACAGGGAATGAGCTCTGGGTCAAGGGGGACTGTTGTCTTCTCCGTTTGGGCGTGCCAGCAAATGGGGGGTCAATCCTCGGGAGACAACCAGCTGCCATGGCCTTGCTTGCAGGACAAGTCGAATCAGTTCACTTCTCAGAAACACCCTTCATGAGCTCATACCTATACCTATATATACTCGTACATGTATATATAGATATATGCTATGTAAAAGCTCTTTTCCAGAAGGGTAGCCAGGACACTGGGGACACTCCGACTGACACTTGATCTTTTCACGCAACTATTTGGTGGACCACCCCCATCCCCCCTCCCCCGAAAGGCGCCGCATTAATCTAACACTGGAGGCATTTTGTGTTTGGGGGCTTGCAGCAGTTTCGTGAACTGTGAGGACAACGCCCAGTCAGTCGACCTGAAGATCACTGTGGATGAAGAAAGCAACTACTTTCCTCTGAAGGCGGGGCACCCGCGATGCGCGACGTGGACAGCGACAGGGTTTAGTGGCAACAAAGACGCATGAGCAGGTGTGTTTCCCTGGTTCCTCTTTCAGGACAGTTTTGAGCATCGCAGTTTGTTGATTGTCGGTGTGGAAACCTCCGCACCCCAGCCCCCGGGCTGAGCATCTCACGAGTGACGTGCGAAATCAAAAGAAGACCTTTCCTTGTGACACCCAACCGGTTTTTTGAGCCTAGAGGCAAAATAGAGGTCTTGGGGTTGGCACAGGAAAACGTTGCTTCTTGTTATAGGTGGTTGAACTTAAGCCTGGGGGAGAGATTCTACCCCCCCCCCTCTCACATTGTTTTGGAGAACTTGCCGCCGCTAAATCTGCATTCTTTGATACAAAGGGAGTCCGCGACGTATCACAGATTTCGGGTGATTTTCCACGGTGATATTTGCGGAGGACCTCATAGATGCATCCTGACTTCAACATTTATCTTCAAGCCACCGTCCGTATGGATTTGTGTGCAAAATGGGGAGGACCCCACAGATGGTGGTCGTCCTTTTGTCTTCCCCCAAAAAAAACCCAAGAACGGTAGCCCCACAAAAACAAGCCCGTCCCCAGAGATGACCAAGACGTGTGTGTGTGTGTCTTTTTCAGGGGAACCCCCTTTGGCTGGCTTTAAAAGAAACCAAATGGAGACCAACCGGTGTGGGGGTTCCCCCCCATGTTGAGGCAGGCAGGAAAAAACATGGTTGGGGTTCCTTTTGAAAGATCGATTCGGTCAACCCTTTGATCACCCATTCTTCTGAAAACAGAAGTTTGTTTTTCGTGTTTCTGGCCGGTTGAAGAGACAGATCTTAGAGACCGGGGAGGGTGCAATAACTTATCACTTTGCACTTAATCAGGAACCGGTCCAACAGCTAGGATCCCTACCAGAAGGATGTCTTGCACTTTCCGCTGTAAGGCTTATGGGAGAAACCGGCGGGTGCCTTTTAGGGAAACACGCACCCTCCAATGTCTTAAAAAATCCCCACGGACCCTAGACGTTTCCAAGCCTTTTTGAATTTGGTTGTGTGTGTGTGTGTTTCTGAAGGTGCCCTTTTCACCTTCGTTTAAAGGGAAACCACAAGGAAACCTACCGCTTTGGGGGTCTCCGTCATGTAAGGACAAACTCATTTGCAGCTTTGTTGGGGGCCTTACCCGTCTTTGTGGGGCCTTTTCAGAGAAAAGGGGTCCTTTGGGATGGGGGTTCAACTAAAACCTTGCAGAGGTTGATTTGGCCTTTGGTTGCCCTCGGTAAGCTGGCTCACCTCGGGACGCCAACCCAAAGATCCATTCAAGGGTTGGAGGATAGCCATACCAAGGAGGTCTCACTTGGGAGGGGGGGTCTTTGGCTCGGCCTAAGCCGACCGAACCCCCGCAAAAAAAACGGAATTCGTCAGGGCGCGGAGCTCAACGGCGCCCAGGGCAAGCTGGGGAATATCTTCCTGGAGCGCCTCGACACAAGAAATTTTAATTCCCCGAGTCCCCCGGTTGGCTCTGGGGGGGGGGGGGGTGGAGGCTATGGCTAGGCGAAGTGGAAGCGGTTCCTTCCTCACTGTTGGAGTTGGACTTGACACTTTCTGGGGTTGGACCATTCTAGTATTTTAGTGGTAGACAAAACAGCTTGGGGGGCTTTTTTTTTTTTGGGGGGGGGGCAATCCAAGCTTTCTGAGTGGATTAGCCCAGCTTTTCCGGGTTCCGCACCGAGCCAACACTTTCTTGCAGGCTTTGCTCGTCAACCCACATCGCATTCTGACCTTTGCAACTTGCCTTTTTGGTTTCCCTTCATTTTCCTTACCATCACAAAGTTGCGACCATGATGCGAGAAGCAAAAGTTGAACACTTGCGGGGTTAAGTCTGGTCAAGCAAAGGGGTTGCAATGATTTTTCTACCAGGGTCACTAAAAACAACTGGGACGTGGTAAGTAGGGTATTACCCCTGATAAGGGCTCCAGCCCCAGTTTTTCCAGTTATAAGCGTGGCAGGCCGCTTACCTGACGTTGGCTGAACACCCAAGTGAAGGATGCCAGTGATTGGTATGGAAAATGAAAGCGTAATGTTTTGGGGGGGCTGGAAAGGCAGACCAACTCAAAACACTCAGGGGTTAACATTCACAAGGCTTAATCCGACCAATGCTTCTCCGAACCCCCCTCTGCAATGAATCCAATCCCAGCCAGAAGGCATCCTCGAGCTCGATCCGAAGTTGGCTTTGCCCTTTGCGAGGAAAACTCATGTTTGGCAAAGGACATCTCGAACTCGTTAAAGGTCTTGGTGTGCGTCAAACTTACCCATGGTGAGTTGGGTTGCTTCTTGCTGGTTTGCTATTTCATTTTGCCAAATTGTGTTCATTCACCCAAACATTGGAAAGATGCTTTTTTTTTGTGCGCGGGGGGGGGGGGGAGGTTCCATCGTCATTTACGGTGGTCAAGGGAATGTCACTGAGTCCCTGGTACACTGAAGAAGTGGAGGTTCCCAAATAATCATGTCGTTGGGGCGCACAAGAAAAATCTGTCAAAATTGGGGGGATTTGGACCTCGCAAAACGGTGGTTTGGCCTTTTGGTTTCCCTTTACACACATTTGTCTTTTTCTCAGTGTGCCCAACGCCGACCTTTTGACCTTTTGGTTTCCCTGATTTGGTCCAGTTTGAGTCATGGCCCTAAAAGGTTAACCGGTTAACCTTTGATTTCTGTGTCCTTTGGGCAACTGAGTTTTGAAAGATACCCGCTTTTTGGGGTTAAGCTTCAAGGAATATTTTTCAGTGAACCCACATGAACCCACCAATTTCGGGAGTTTCACAAACACGACAAGGCCTTGTCCGCTACGCCCAGTCCTGAGGCGGGACTCAGAAGTGGTCCTTCACTTCGAGCTGGTGGACTCTGTCACCAGCGACCTCATGGCGCGACGTTTCGAACTGTTGGGTTCTTTGGTTCGTTCAGCTGGCGAATGCTCGGTTAATGATTTGCCCACTTACCAACCAGCAAACCGAGGAAAAATTGGAGGTGTCCAATCAGCCAGTCAGGTCCCCCACAAAAAGTCAATCTGTTTATGCGTTACCAGGAGTCCATGAGGGTTTAGCTAACCCTTCTATATATTTATATGCGTTAGCCGTAGCCCATGTATGATTAGGGTTTAGGCAACCCTTCGGTGGATTGGTGGCTTGACCACCCCGCCAAGTCAGTGAGAAGCTGATGCAAGGCAATCTGCAAGATCCTTGCCATGGGTTGCGAAAGGGGTGCCCCTTAAGGGGGCTCCAACAGGTATCATGGACATATGGAACTCAGCTTGCCCCTAGGATACCCCAAAGGGCTATCAAATTTGCCGAGTGACCTTCGGGATCGATGTTGGGGCTTGACAGAAACCCATTGGGGGTGCTGGTATTTCGTGGTTGGTTGATCTGCCAAGTGTGAAGAAAAGAGCCGAGGGATTCGCCGATTTGTTTGGGGGAGGACCCGTCTGTTCGAAACCGAAACAAAGAAGCGCCCAGACTGCGGGTCCGCTTCCCAGGCCGATGGAAATATCCCTTGGGAGGGAGAGCTTGAATAGGGATCCGCCTCAAAAGTGGACATGGCTCGTTAAAATTCAGAACCACCTAAATGTCCGGGACCCGTCAAAATTCACTGGGACATTTGTCCCGGCGATTTGGAAGTGCTCAGGCTTGCTCCGAACCTGATCAATCCTAGAGATGTGGTGAGGTTTCTGTCATGTGTTCCCTTTGGGACCATTCAGCCTTGTGTGCTTGCGATTTAGGAGCATCACTGCAAAGGGGATGGCCCTACTACTTCAATGTAGGTAGCCAAGGGAAACCACCCCGTGAAAACTAGAAGGAACATGCCTGGTTCGGGCGGGGTTGCCAGATTCACTGGCCAATTTTATAGTTGTTCACAAGAAGCCAAGATGCCCTCGCCTTGACGCTGGAGGTTTAAAAGGGAAACAACTTCTTCGAGTCTGAAGCGGGGAGAACTCCTTCGGAAGACCGGGAAACCACGCTCTTGAATGCGCTTGGAAGCGAAGGGAATGACCCCTTTTGAGCCTCCAGTCACTTCCCAAAACCAAGTTGTTCCCTACCAATGGAACCAAGAAGTGCCCCTATCCATAGGTATCATGGGTACTTCCTCACTGTTCTTGAAGTATTTATTTAGGTTCATTGATATGTTTGGTTCGGTTCAACAGAGGAATCGGTCCCCTATGTTGTTGGGAGGTTCCTTTTGGGTGTCCTTTCAGTGCCAGCTTCAAAGGGTCCTCCTCGCGGTTTCTTCGCACGCAGGCCCCTGAGGATCTGGTGATCAAGTTCTTCGACAGCGACGATGGGGTGGAAGGCCCATGGGATTCTGGATTTGGCCTGGGAACTGCCGAGCAATTCACCAAAGTCTTGCAGAACTGGATTTATGTTCTGGAGGCACAAACAAGCTTTTGTTGGCCTTTTTGTTTTTTCTTCGGGTGGACAAAATATGAGGCAGAATCTGAACATGTTTTGTTTGTGCACCCCAGATTTAGGCGCGGATGTCTGGATGGTGGAGTCCTTGCTTCATGGGGTGAAATTGGGTCGACCATACCGCGTGGCTGGGGTTGGGGGTTGTGGCTACCTTTTGATTTTGGATAGGCCAAAGGTCACTTAGCTATGCATTTGGTGGCCATGGAGCCTGGTTCAGTTGCGGAGTTTCTCGTTAGGACGGTCCCTTCACTTTCAACCGAGGGTAATGGTCATGAGGAGACACCCTCCTTCAAGAGGGGAGCCTTCTATGCGGATTTGTGATGTCTTTTTGTGGCCTTGCATCAAAGTAAGTTTCCTTTTGCGCCTACCCACTTGGTTTGGGCCAATTTTGGGACATCCACAAATTGCCACTAAAAGAAGTCATCTAAGAAGGTAAGACGGGGTGGCCGTTAGTGGGGGTGCGACCCCACGCTCCAAAACATGCCATTTGTAGCGTCAAACTGGGTCCAAAGCCAAATGCAATCTTCCGCGGCCTTGGTACATTGATTTGGCGACTTGAGGCAGCGACATGGAGACCTACGAAATCTCCGCAATCACCGACTGTGAGGACTGCAATGGGTGTGCCCCTTTTGAGGGGAAATTTTAAAGATGGCGATTTTTCGTTGACTTCTCAAGCCAAAAAGCCACCCCCTCCCCCCAGTCAGGACTCTTTGAAAGCAGAGTATCAGAACCCCAGCCGAAAGTAGGTCGTAGAGTATCGTAGACTTTTCATGTTCCGGGTCCTTTGGGTGAGTGTGGGTGTACAGGGTGCTGAGCAAAGTGCAAGGGTAAAATCGGTTTGGTTGGTTTCCATTGGTTTCAGCAAATGGGTTTGGCCTGCAAACAGGTATGTGTCAACATAGGGGACCCACAAAATGTTGTCTTACTCTTGGTTTTCCTTTGAAACCACCCAAAGAACGGTACCCTCCAAAAACATATACCAATATGGGTATCCCCTTTGCCAGGCACCGAGTTTCTACCATGCTGATCGATTGGCATCGCTGGGTGCCTGTCTGGTCGACCCCCTGCTCGGATTTGTTGCATGCCCAGAAGCCAAAAGGCAAAATGGGCTGAAAAAAATACCCCGCGCCTTTTCGTTATGTAAGGGGCCGTCCCTTAACTTGTTTCGCAGGCCAAAACCATTGTAAACCGATACAGAGGAAGAAAAACCGACACCCCCAGAAGCCATGAAGACACACATCAGGTCCAAGATCGCGGAATCATAAATTTGCAGGGCCCAAACCGATACCCAAACCGATACCCAACCGATACCCAACTCAGTGGCCGCCACGCCGAATCCAACCAGCTGCCCTGCAGCCTGCCCTGGAGCTGCCAAAATGCACTTTGTGTACCACATTTGTACTGAAAATCTCACTTGCACTGAAAAGCTGCGATTTTCAAGCCGGAGCTGCCAAAGTCTACTGCGCATACTACTGAAAAGTTGCGACTTTCCAGCTGGAGCTGCCAAAGTGTACTTTGCGTACTACACTTGTACTGAAAAGTTGCGACTTTCCAGCTGGAGCTGGGAGCTGGCAGAGTGTACTTCGCAGACTACACTTGTACGGAAAGTCACGACTTTCGAGCTAGAGCTGCCAAAACACTGCAAACCGATGCAGAGGAAAAAATCCGATACTGACCGATACTAGGGCATAAGCATACAAGGGTTGTCCACGGGTTTTTTCTCAACCCAAATCTGTGTGTATCAAAATAGCGGAACCCTCAATGGGCAGTTTCCTTTTGGCTTCCCTCTAAAGCAACCCAACATGGGGTACGTTAAACACCCATCCACCCACCCACCCACGCACGCACGCACGCACGCACCCACCCACCCACACACACACACACACACCCACGCCCGCCCGCCCGCCCGCCCGCGCGCGCACGCACGCACGCACGCACGCGCGCACGCACGCACGCGCGCACGCACGCATGCCACGCTACACAAACGTATATACCCACATGGAGGTTCAAAAAAGACCGGCTTGGGGTTGGAAATGGTTGGCAAAAGGCCCCCCCACGAATGACATCCTTGCTGGTCTTTTGTCGGATCCATGGATCGATGAATGACATACCTCGTTCAGCTGTGTGGAAAGCCTGGCTTTGCAAAAGGCGACCCGGGTCCGATCTTGCTAATCTTGCAAGCCTCTTGGCCAATAGGGGGCCCGACAAAACAAACTATGAGTTGCGTGGTTTTATGTTCAAAGTTTGCCTGCCAAAACTACCCAACAAAAAACACCCTAGCTGGCGTATCGAGAATACCGCCTTGGCCTTGCAAGTCTGTTAGCCCAGTTTCAAATGCTGGAACTTGTTTAGCGTTGGGCGACAGGTTTGTTTATGTTAAGTGAGACTTTGAGTACCGTTACGTTCTCCAGAGCGAATTGACCTTTGACCCGGGCCTAAACGATTCAGTGGAGGAATGTGACAAATAGTTTTTGTGTTTTTCCTTTTTCCCCGGAGCCCAACACGCAGTGGAAGCGGCATCGAGTTCCACAGGGATCGGTGGGTGAAACAAATGGGGTCTTCGGTAGTATTTGGGGTTAGCAGAATTAGCAGAAGCACGCAACACGCATGAGGGACCACCCAAAGCCGACACACCCCTATCACCACTCATCCTATGCTCAACACATTGAAAACTCGGGGGCCACTCAGTCTCTGGTTTTGGATGAATCAGAATTCTAAGCAGGTCAATGCAAGCCTTACTCATCTTGAATCTCAAGCCAGCAGCCAGTGGGTTTGGGTGACTCGGTGTTCGGCCGAAGGAGTTCTATACCTCGGCGGATACCGTGTACAAGCGCTGGCCTCAGCGAACCAGGGAGTCGACCCCGAGGTGCCCTCAAAAGGCGGTTTCATTGTCGGGAACCAGAGCAACTTGGCCAATTTGGCCAGGTACCGGTATATGCCATGTGGGTCTGTGCTTGTTTGAGGCTTGGTGCCCTTTTGTTTGTTTGTTGGAAAGGAACACCGAAGTGAAGCTGCACATGCTTTGGCTTCCCGGTTGCCGTTCGCCCAGGCCTTCAAAACCCCTCATTTGGGGTTTGCCTTCTTTTGAGGGGTACCCTTTGTGTGGTTGGTTTTGAGGCCGGTTCCCCAAAGCAGGCGGATTTCCGGGAGCGGTACCCTTCCCAGGACGAAAAGCACACATGCGCAAGAATCGGCCCTGTTTGTTGTTTGCAATGTTCGAAGGGGGGTCCGCATGTCATCTACAGAACTGAGAGCTGTTGGAGTAGGAGGTTCCTACTGACGGAGCCCTGCCTGCCCTGTGTCCAAATATGGCGACGTCTCGCCTCGTCGTTGTTCAAGTCGGTGTCCGTCCGATTTTCTTTGGGACCCGTTCTGTTCTACCTTGGCCCGCCCTTAATTAATTACCTGGGGTCCAGAAAGAGGCACATAAAGTTTAGCCACTGAATGTTTATGCCCATAAAAGTACATAATAGACATATATATATATGTATACATGATGTAAGGAGTACATAAGTGCCTCAAACAAACCTCTAGACAGGGCTTAACTAGACAGGAATTATTGCAAGCAACCAGCCACTCGTGGGCCCCAAATAAATTATCATGGGTTTACTTTCGCATGTGTATGTATATATATATATATATGTACATATGTAAAATTCTACATATTTATATATAGATATGGTGATACATTCGGCCTTTGAATCTGCTCATAGCTCGCTTGATCGCCAGGGTGCATGGCACCTGCGCGGAAGAAGGGCCCACGGAATTCGAGCCCGCGGCCCCAGATCGCATTTTGCGAAACTCCTTGAGTGCCTCGCTGAGTTCCTCGCTGGTTCGATAGGAATGGCTTGGAATGACCCCCGTATAAGCCTATAAACCATCCAACTGGTGGTTTCCTTAAAGGGAATGACGGTTGACCTTGAATATGAGGGCCTTTGACCCCAAAAGACCTGAACAAATATAGAGGCTTGGGACCCTAGGGCTCCTTGAGTTCCTTACTTGCTGGTTTGATAGGAATGAGTTGGAAGGACCCCCATATTCAACTGGCGGTTTCCTTAAAGTGAATCCCCAAACGGTTCATTCCCAACACCCGGAGGGTCCTACTGCCCTACTGATCGGCACTTTCCTGGCGTCGCCATGGGAGTGAGCCGAGTTCCTGGACTTGATTTTTGGGAGAACCATTTAGGCAGACCAAAGGTTTGTTTTTCTGACCACCGCACTCAGGAAGTGAAATCAATGAACATTTGGGAGGAATCTACTTTGGGAAAAGGAGCTCCGTTTTGGGTTCCATTTTGATTTGGAGCGAAGTGTTTTGGGGGATGGTGAATATAGATGCTTCTACTACTGGCACGCGGGGTCGCCTTTCTGTTAACCCGACTAACTAAGGCATCCCTTTTTTGGATGTCTCTCATACATAATTGCGCTGATATTTTTGCCAGAGTCAACCCGCTCCAGTATGGACAAGTACGTTCCTTTAGGACCCGGTTATTTGAGTCCATGCTTTGTGGCACCAAGGAACTCCCCTTGAAGGTGAGGAAGCAGACAAGGGGATGGGAATGCCACTGTGAAATCATTTGTCCACCACAATCAAAAAGACACCCGCGCCAATTATTAAGGGAAATGCCGCCGATCTTCTGAGCTTTGGTTCGGCCATTTTATTCATCCCGGGCCCTTGTTGGTTTTAAAGGGAAACACAGATGGACACATCAATGCTCGGTTGCGGTCCAAATCCTAGACAAACTCAAGTGAGTCGCTTGGATGTTCGCTGGGATGCGGGTCAGGGGTTTAACCGTTGCGAGCATAGGACTCCGTTTGAGTGCCCGTTTTAGGGTATGTTTTTTTGAGGTTTGACCGAAAGGAGCACCATTTTGGGGGGTTCCTTGTGACACAAACATTTAGAGGTGTTGCTTTGAGGCAGTTGGGAGGGGAACGGGCTGAAAGACAAGTTCCCCTCTGATCGATTCCATGTTAGTCGGGAGGGTAACACAAGAGGCTAATCCATGAGCATCTCTGGTTGTCAGCGGAACAAAGGCATCATGGAACATTCGAGGGAGTTTCCAAATTTGAGGTGCCGGATGTGACTGAATCGAGTCGGGCATGGTTTGAGAATGTTCGGAGTTTAGTCAGCTCCACCAAATTCTTAGATGACTTCTCCTCAAGCTGGTCGAATGGGTAGACTGCACCAACCTGGCCCTGTTACCCTCGCTTAAAAAAACAAAACAAACAAAATCGCAAGGGTGTTCCGTAGCGGAACAAGCAAAAGGTAAGCAGTAAAGGGTTGACATTTGTCCTTTCCGGAAAGCACTCGAATCACTTTCAGATCCTGGCCGCGGCCACATCAATTCATTTGGCCAAGGATTCAGCTTCCTTTGGTGGTCAACCAACTTTGCAAGTAGCTCAGAACTATGGTGAGGGGACAAACCCCAATTGTAAACCATGGTCAATTCCAAAGTTGGCAAATTACTGGTTATTATATCCATGGTTCTAAGCTGCTGGATTACTCCGTTTTTTTCAACACCCAGGCTGGGATTCCCTTGCCTTCCGAATCGAACAGAGGGCGCACCTCAGGAAGCCCTTCATCGCGGATCCGGGCTGCGACTCCGGAGGCGAGTTTCTCTCGATGAAGTTGGCACGTTCTGTTTGGGCGGTCAACCCACTTGGCGTTTCCCAGTGATACGGGTCCTTCGACCTTTTAGACTTTCAGAGTTTAGAGTTTGAAAAAAATGACTCCAACCAACACTTGAAACCTTGCCCAAGGAACAACGAGCCACTGAGCTAAGTAAGGAGTTCCTCGTCGTTGTATGTGCACCCTTGGATCTTGACCGTGTTTACCCCTTTGGGCTGCAACATGGCTACGCCAAGGGATGATGAGGAAAGTCCATCTGACTGATGGCAGTCCCAGCAATGAACTTTCAGAATTCGTTTGCTAGGGCTCCCAATGCGAGAGGGACCACAGGGGTTGATTCCCTTTGTGATCATGAAAGCAACCTGCTTGCCAAGTGAGTTTACCCGCTTTTTGGGCCCGGGGGGGGGGGGGGGTTGAGGGGAGGTGAAACTTGAAGCTTGAGTGGTTGACCAGATTTGGGCGGCTGCAGAGTTGTTTGCCAGCGACATGTTCTTTCAACCTCCCATCCACTATCAGGGAGGTTGACTGACGTCCAGTGGAAGATCATTTTACTGAAGGAACCTTTTCTCGATCTTGAATTTGTGTCCTTTTTGCCAGGATAATGTGTGAAGGGGACAATGAATGAACAAAATATCCACTTCGCACCAGTTGGTAGGTGGTGTGTTTCAGTGTTCATGGATGTTCACGGGGTTTCATCCATCCCAACTGGCGGACTTTTATCCACAGCATCTCAACCGTGAAAGTCTGAGGGAGAGGTCAGCAGTTGGACAGTTGCCCCACAGCAATGCTTAGCAGGCGGGGCTTGTTTGGGTTTCATTGCGCCCATTGGTGGACATCATTTCCACAGGATTTTTGTCGGCCAACCGCCTTTTGTAAGAGGTTCCCTTCAAAAGTTCAAGACAATGTTTGCATCACCTCCGCGGACGAACCGTTGCGACGAGAGACGTCCAAAGTGAACCCTGCCCCCACCTAACAGTTGACGACGAAGATTTGGATCAACCACTCAACGGGCAATAAATGTGTTCACTGGTAGTGGTCGGGGCCAGGTTTTAAGTTGCATGATGTTCGAGGCAACTGATCCCAACCAGCCGCCGGGGAAAGTTTCGGTTGAACAGAGCGCCAGATTCTTGGGGGTTGGGTTGTCCTTTTGAGACCACCTTCTTCCAAGTGTTCAGTGACCCTCTTTCTCCCGGTTTGTTGCAGGGTTCTCCAACTAAAGTGGTCAATCCCAAAATGGTATATATCCTTTTCCTACCAGGATGACCGGGCAATTGAGCTATTGGATGCATAAATTGATTTCCCTTGGACGAACATTGTAGCTCCTTGGGGTATGCCAAACTTGGCGGAAGGACGGCCAAAGGACCTGTGTTGTAAGGACTGCATCCAGGTCGATTCAATTCAGAACAGCCTCACCTCGGGAGAATACGAGAGGCACATCCAGGATTCCTTATTTCCACGTGAGTTGTAGTCATTTGCCCGGATTCCTTTCACCCGTCTCGTGCAGACCCCAGACACGGCGGAAAGTCTAGTTTGTGTTTGCCACTGTCCTAAACAAACACTTCCCAAAGAAAGCCTAAATGAGGGAGGGGGGTGGCCGGTTGAGCCAAATGGCGTGGTTCTATGTTCCTTCCTAGGAACCTGCTGTTGCCTCCCAAAAGATCCCAACAGGGGGTGCCTTTAGAAGACCTTCCAGGCGGTACCGTGACGGGCCCTTGGGCATGTCAGGCAAGTTCTATGATTGTTGCTGCCCCCAAACTACGTCTAGGGGCAAACGGGGCACAAACCCGGTATATATATATATATAATGCAAGAACCACTGAAAGATGTGGGCATAAGGTAAACCAAACGAGGATGGATGTTGTTTTGTCTTTTCCTTTTTTCTCTGACCCCTATTCAGCACCATGGGCAAGGCACTTAGGGTGAGGGCCACAAGGGAATGCTTTATAACATAGTCACGAGGATGGCCCGTATTGGTATCACATTGGTCCATTAGAGTGGTATCATCTAAAATTTACCCCGTAAACGATGCTTTAAAGGGAAACCATGACCCTAAAGCAATTTTGCGACCCCTCAAAGTTTAACCACTTTAAGAGACCCAGTATTTGCCCTATTCTCAACAATGGCAGTGGACAGGGGAACTTTTCAAGAGAAATGCAGCCTTCTCAGCAAGTCTTCTGCCAGCTTCCACTGTTGGAAACGGGGTATTACTACTGGATGCTAGGACCAAAAGGACATGGGCTTATTTTCTTCAGACCGATCCCCTACTCAAAGACTCAAGTCGCACCCAGCTTAGGATGAGGAATTGTCTAAGTTGTTTAGGCCCCCATTCATTTTTTTGAATATATATATATATATACTAATATGTATATACATATATATATATATATATATATCTGTATATCAAAATAAAGGACGACATGGAACAAGCACTAAACAAGAAAACAGTTTTTTTTTTTTAAAAAAAAAAAAAAAAAAACCACCCGGGGCCCTCGCAGAGCTGGGAGGCTACGAGGTGCTGGACTTGGGCCGAGTGATCAACAACAACCTCATGGGCAAGGCTACAATCAATTTGCGACTTGCGGGGGGAAGTCGTGCGAACAGAAGGGGCTAAACTAACCCATAGGGTCCCTTTGTACCTTCTAAGGAGGCAGCTAGAACCCTTTTTACCCCCCAAAAGCCATCCTCATGAGGTACTTGGACCCTCTGGGTAATACGAAGACACATGACGAAATAGAAAGAAGTCTATAAGCTTACCACCACCATCATGACAAACAAAAAAGAGGTTTTTTCAGTACCCCACCCCATCTGATTGAATGGCCCTCTGTTTCCCCAAGCTCTGGATTCCCCTTTTCAGCTTTTCTTGGGAAGGGTGTCCCTAAACGCTCGTAGGGAACACCTAAATAGCTGTGTTTCATGGAATGATACTGGTTTGTAATTAGTTGGCCCTCTTGTGTTACCCCTTAAATCAGGGCTCCCTACACCTCGGAAAAAGGGTGGTGACAAATGAGCTTTAGGTGATCCTTAATCGTACCACAAAAACTACCATTTTGGTGGTTTCAACATTTTGAGACACACCCATGTCGATTTGCTTGCTTGACCTCGAGCCAAATTGGTTGCCTACTCGGGGGAAAAACTGGCTGCCAACGTTGGGTCCGCGAGAGAAAACCCTTTCTTTGTATAGGGTACCATTTGTTGGTGGCTGGGAAGTCCAAACCACAACAAGAGCGATATCCGCCCGTCTTTGCTTCACTTAATTTTGAGTAGACTCCTTGACCACCTGCTTTGGGACTCACCTGAAAAGCGTCACGCGGATGGCTCAGCGCCCTCTCTGGGGCGCGCGCTCGAAAAGCACGCGGCTTGACCAGGGGCCAAATCCCATCGGAGCTCCTGACTTGCGCTTCGAGAACGCGCGGACCTTGGCCCGTGGCTCCGAAATTGATCGAGGGGTGTTGACCTGGGCAAGATTTTGGGGGTGATTTCTCTGGCCCCTCTGCTCCCCAGAAAGTTCTGAGAGCCCAAGTGCCGAAGAACCCCTGGTTGATGAATAACCCCCTGACTGAGAGTTTGGTATTCCGCTTCCCCATTGCAGTTGAAAGGCAGGGCCGGCAGCGCGACCCCTCACGCCAAGGTCCTGCAGATAGATGGCCAGGGCGTGGACATGGTCGTGGAGGCGCGCCGCGCGCGCTTGCGCCATTTTGAGGCGGCCGACCCAAATGGGCCATGTTTTGTCGGTTGGCTGAACGTTCCCTGAAACGCCAATCATTGCGAGGATGTCACTTGAGTGGACCCTTTTTTGGGGCCAGGGATAGCCTCCCTTTTTAGATCTTGTATGGATTTGAACGGCAAGCTAAGGGGAAACCACACATGTTCTTTGGGGGGTCCACATTTTGCGACCGACCCAACTCTCAACCTGTTGCAGGGAGGAACGCATGGGATGAACGAATTGAACTTGTCCTATGTTTGGACCTTGCTGACCTTGCTGTCATTGTGTCGGTTTGTGACGCCTGGTTGGGGGGCTTCGTCATTTTGAGGAGCTGCTTGGGTTCATACAGGAGGTCCTTTAAGAGGCGGGGCTCCCTGCAAGTATGGCTCAAAACAGTCTTACTTAACCCAGTGCTTTTAAATACGATTGTAGTATATTAGGTAACGAAGGGAACCCATGCAAACTCCTAAAACTAGGGGGGGAGGGAATGAGGGGAAACCATCAATGTGACGCTCGCACAACTTGGCGGCAAGACTACCGGCTTACTACTGCGGTAGCCGGAAGCACTGGTCAGGCGAACTAAGCCTTGCCGGCAATTTTGCCAAACCTTGAGAGGCCCACGTCCCATTGGCTCCAAAGTACGTAGGATGTTGAGCTCAGTGGGCCCATGGAAAGTCGGTGCTGCGCTGGGCTCGTGGCTCAGGTTGTGACCGGAGAATACGAGCCGGGCGATGCCAGCGTCGGGCGCCCGGGAACTCTTGGGCAGAGCGATGCCTTGGTTTCTTTGACGCAAGCCATCGTTTTTTGGGACCCCAAAGCTAAGAGATGGGTACAGAGAAACAACAAAAAGGTGGGGCCACGGAGAAAGCACGGGGTCTTCGGGGGACATTCGTAATTTTTACCGGAACCGGGCCTATGGTTTCCAGTCACAGATCATTGTCCTGCCAAGAACTGACACACCCTTTTGACGCGGCTTGAGAGACGTTGCCTCTCAAAAAGCAGCCACCCGGCAGCGTCCTATTTTCTGCCCTTCACGGGTGCCTTTTTCCCAACGAGAGCGTCTGATAAGAGTCTTAACGTGTACCCAGGATTCGTAAACTGATTGATACATGGGAGAGTTGCATGTCAGAGCGGATGCTTCACTTGTATGTGTTTGGGGTGGGGGGGACACCCTATTTGTTTGCCAAGGTAGTTATTCCGAGGTCAACGTTAAATATGTTGATGCATGTGTGTCATGGACAATAGACCACTTTGAGATAGAGATGGTCACTGAGATGGTCATTCACCTCTTTGCAGGGAATTTAGATAGCCATTGCAAGGGCTCCTCTCAAAAGCCAATTGCGTAGC